ACGTTCATAGAACGTGCTCGAACGTTCGCAACGTTCTTTGAACGTTTTTTGTTTGCTGGGATATTATAGAACCTTAAGTAGCCGTAGCGCAGTGGTAACTGAGTTTCCCTCAGAAACTACAAATCTTTAATTCAACACCACCTCCGGGTAAGTTTTATGAGATAGGCAAGGAGGGAGGCGTGAAATTCCTTTCCGATGTTCTTCCATGGTGTTCTGTGATAAGGCCCTATGGACTTCTTCGGGCACATAAAATAAATAAATTAATTTAAAAAAAACAACCTGTTTATTGTTAAATCTCGATAAAGTGTTAGGAATTTATTTCATTTTTAATTCAATCAGTTAAAAGTTTTAAATGTGCACTAACTAGTGATGGAACGACGTAAGATATATACAAACGTTTTTTCATTTATATACTATAAATGAAAAAAGCCCGAAATCGGTGTTTGTTTGAGTGACTCGTAAAATTCTTTTTCAAACAGCTTTGAGCATTCAAAACTACTTTTTCAATTTCACCACTCCGAGTAAACATTGAAAAGTTAAGAAGGGTATCAATTGCTTTACGAACTTCTTCAGTTGTTGGTTTAGTCACCATTTTATCAGTCATATTGTTTCATTCTTTTTTTTTTAGCATTTCTTCGTCAACTACCTTAATGATATCTTGAAAAAAATTTTCATCTGTCACTCCTCCCATAACCGAAACACCAGCATCAACTGTTAACATATCTTTGTAAGTAAAATCATCTGGAACAAGATCATTATTAAGTTAACGTAACTGATCAATTGAATTTTTTAATGCAGGGAAGTAATTATTATCTTTCTTTGATACTCTTTCTTTAAATCCTGCTTTGCGGAAGCAATTAATAATAGTGGTTTCTGGATTTTCATTTCAAGACTGGACAAGCATTTTCATAGAGATTGAAGGCATTTGTTTTACGTTATCAATAGCATTAATGATCTTGTTAATTAAATTAGTTCGGTTCTTGCACTTTAACGATCGCATGACTCTTTGATCCATCGATTGCAAACATAAAGTTGTGGGGAGGGGAGGGGGATGTTGAGTGAGATGTTGAGTCCAATCATCAATAACCAATACTACTTTACAACTTTCAAATGCAAAATTTCTGTCGTTTTATTCAAATAGTTTAAAGGCCATCCAGCTCTATTTTAGCGCACGGTAACAAATTAAAATAAAAGAATTGGATTGATAAACAATTGATTTTAAGAAATGGAATATTAATTTTCTATTAATGTTATTATTTCTTACACAAATGAATGAAAAATATGTTAAAATAAATTTAATGAAAAATATCAATGAAATAATAAAATGACAAAATACCTTTATTGTTTTAAACGATACATTACTTTTAATCTATTTAATTATCCATCAGATGCTTGACGTCACAACCAAGTTATTTTGCAAAATCTTTGAATCAATCCTCACTCTTTTCGCAGAAAAATTTATTTTTTTCGACTTCTGAATATATAGTGTTTTTATTTTGACCATCCAGACAATGTTTGCTTCGGAACTCCGTATTTTTTTTTTTTTTAATTTTTTTTTGTATAGATACAGATGATTGTCGAGTTCTTTTAGTATTTTTTTTTTTTTCTAGAAAAAAAGCTCTGAGTATAAATATAGAAAAAAAATACATAATACTAAAAAAACTCAACAAGTGTTTTTTTATATGTCAAAAATGAAGCAATAGGCCTTTCCCATAAATTGTCAAACGCGCCATGAATTGTGGTAGTTGTATTCCTTCAAATCTAAACAACCCTAGTAAAGTATTTTAGAAGTAGACATTATATAGTGATGAGTACTTTTAATGCTAATTTAGAAATTAAAACTGATGCTAGTTTTTCTTAGAGTTACTTACTAGTCCTGCATCTAATGCTGTTTTTCGTGAACTTAAACAGATGAATTTGTTGCTATCGATGAAGAGCAATCTATAAACAACAGTATTTCAATTTGGTTAAGAGACATTTCATTTTAGCCAAATATAGCTCACAAATTTATCAAGAATTACCTTAATAAAATCAAAAACAGAGCCATTTGTTTTTGATACAAAACTCTGTATTTTGCTTTAATCACTATAAACTCGGCCAGCTGTAGTTGGTGAAATTGTATGCAGAAGGTAGATCTGACGTTGTAATTTTGATTTATTCTGTTGCAATTAATTTAAAATTTTTCTGAACCGAAAAGTCGACAGAGAAGTTGGTGATATTTTTCATATTTAGTTTTGCGTTATTTTGTTTCATTGATATTTTTATATCCCTTTATAAATATATCAATTAAGTTATAACTTTGAATTTATCATGTCGGTAACATAAAATTCATTAACGATAAAATAAAATTTAATGTAAAAAATAGAGTAAAATTTGTGTTCTAAAAAATCTTTTTTAAGTAGCGTTAGACATGATGCGATATTTGGACAGAAATAATAGAATTTCTTAGAAACATACATGGTTGTGGGAATGAAATTCTGACAAGCAAACAATTTGGCATCAGTATAAAAACGAACGAAATAAATAAGAAAATAAGTTAAAGTAAATTCTAGTAAAGAAAATTTAGTTTTTAATATGAAACAATAGGTTCTAAAACGTTGCGCTGTAACGTTTTCATATTTGCAAAAAATGTTTTCCTTGATTTTTAGACCCATATTTGCATTTTCAATTTAAAGAATTTTTTAATACAATATGATCTGATAAATAATGCTTACAAAATTAAACAGTGTATTTCTCTGTGATGTAATGTGCACAAACTAGAAATATGTTAAATGATGTTGTGTCAAACACAAGGCCTTTTACTTTCTCAGAAAACCCAGTGTTTTTATGAACTTCTTTTATGGTTTTTTCTAAGTTAGAACTGTAACATTTTTTATCGTTGGTACCAATCTTAATTTTTCTTTTTAAGGCTAATTTCGCCATTAAAAAGGATAACTAAAAATAAAAACCGCTTTATGATTTAAAACTTTAATCTGATCCCAATTTTACAAATTTTATTGTTTTAAAAAAAAAAAACTTTGAACAAAAAAGCTCAGATCTGTTTTTCTATATCTCAGAATTAGATATAAATGTTTAAATTATTAGATATAAAAATCCACATAAATGATCTTCAAATTCAGATCTTCACCTGAGCAAACAGCAATATGTTTTACTTATGTTTTCTTCAGATCTTTCTATATCTTAGCTGATCTCTAAAAGTAACAAAATTATGATTCAAACACAAACATTTATTTACTTGTGTTTTACATGTCCGGTTCTTCAACAATTTCCATTGGTTAATAAGCTACTAATCTAATGTAGTTCTAACTAAATTTTAATTAAGAGTAGTTTAACTAAGCAAAAAACTTTAAGATTTTGTAATATAAAGAATATAGCTTTTTAAGGGAAGTAAAAATGTATACCCCAGAAAAAAAATTCTATAGAATTTCTATAAACTTTTGAAACATATGGCCTATAAAAAATCTATAGAATTTCTATATAATTTCTATAGAATGTATTTTAATTTCTATAGAAATTGCTATAAGACTTTTTTTTCTATAGAAAATAAAGTAGAAAAAAAAGTTCTTAAAAAAAAAAGAAATTCTATAGAAATTTTATTGAATTTCTATAGGCTATATGTTTCAAAAGTTTTTTGAAATTCTAAAGAGCTTTTTTTCCTGGGTACATTTTTACTTTCCTTGTGTATTAACCAGTTAGGCTATATATATATAAAAATTATGTAAAAAAATGTTTTATTAACTAGTGTATTTTAATTTACATAAATTATTTAGATATGGTTTATTTGCCAAAGAAAAAAAAAGGCAGTTCTACGTTTTTTAAAACTTGAAATTTATTTCTTGTAAGGAGTTGTCCATGAAATACGTTACGCAATTTGTGATCATTTCTGACCCCTTCTCTCCGTCGTCACAACATTGTAACTCTTTAGTTACAAGTCCCGTACGAGTCATCACAAAACCACTAATCCCTCCCCTCCCCCTAGAGTGTGACTTAATTTATGGACGATCCCTAATGTGGTTTTTTATTTCTTATAATTTCATACCATCGTCAATAAGTTTATCAAAACATAAAAAGCAGCGATGCCATTGCTATAGGTTACCCTCTTAAAAAGTAACGTTAGTGAAGTAAGATTAATCCATTTTTAGTCACGGTGGTAATGTCTGATTAATTTTTTTTTACTTTATATAACGTTAACATCACTCTGCAGCGTGTGGCAGTGGCAGAGGTACAAAACGGGTATTTAGAAATTCAAATTGTGTAAAACTTTTTATGTTTTACTTAGTTCTGTATAAACATATGGCCTATAGAAATTCTATAGAATTCTATTGAATTTCTATAGATTTTCTGTTAACTGTTATAAAAACTTCTATAAAAAGTTTTTTTTTCTACTTTTTTTTTTATAGAAAAAAATTTCTATAGAATTTTTCTATAGAATTTTTATAGAATAGAAATTTCTATAGAAATTTCTATAGAAATTTCTATAGAATTTTTCTATAGAATTTTTTTTTATAGAAAAAAATTTCTATAGAATTTAATAGACATTTTATAGAAATTCTATAGAGTTTCTATAGGCTATATGTTTCAAAAGTTTATAGGAAATTTTATAGAACTTTTTTTCCTTGGTATATTGAGGGTTTTGGTTTGGGCGGGCATTCTTAATTAAAAAAAAATTAACCAATAAGACATCACAGTCGTGATTTTAATTTAAATGAAAGCAATGGTACCGTTGTCGCCGAGTAACAGCGTTAGAAAAGTTTTTCAGACTTATTTTATTTATATTTATTATTTTTATTTTATTTATGTTTATTTCTAACTTTATTTTAATTATACTTGAATTATCTACGTAAAAAAAAATTCTAATGGAGATTAGAAATTAATAAACAAGCTGATAAAATTTATAATGAAACTTAAAAAAACTAACAATGTTGATGCTTCACTTTTTTTTTAATTTCAAATAATTATTTAATAATTAAATAAATAAAATCAAAATAATTATTTTTTAGGGAATGAAACCGTTGTTAAGAAACGTGCTACTTGCTTTCAATTGTATACTACTTGTTGTAAGTATTTTATTAAAGCTAAATTTGATAGTGCAAATTAAGTTTTCGGCTTGGATGTTTTTAAACAACAAACTACCCAGTGGGCACGGACGTAAAAAAGACGTCTTTTAAACGTCTTATACACGTTTTGGACGTCTTTTGAATGTCTTTTGAACGTTTTAGACGTCTTTTTTAGGTCCGGTGCCCAATGGGTAATATGTATGTGAGATATGAAATTTAGATCAATCTTCAATAAATCTAACTTTAACTTTAAGCAGGCTAATAATATATAAATTTTTAAATTTATAAACTTTGATGATACAAGTAACTAATGAAAATGAATAATTGACAGTAAATAGTTAATTAGTAAATAATTGACACCTATTTCTCTATGTTTTACAAACGGTTGATCTAAATTGCTTTAAGGTATAAAATTTTTAATTGGCTTAGCTAATTATTTAGTTTAGTTAATATATTCTTGACCAGAGTTGTCAATAAGGCCTTATTTAGTCAGGTCAAGAAACTTATCTAGCAAGACCAATAACAACTGTTGCAAGGTCAAGAACAAATGTTGCAAAGGTAAGAAAAAATGTTGCAACCTCAAGAACATCTCTCATAAAACAATACTACATACTGCAACACCGAATCCCAGACCACATGTTGTAAATAATATTAAAATATAATCATATTGAAAATATATTTTTAGATGCTAATAGAAATGTTGTTAACATGAAATTGCAATCTTGTTTTTATTTATTATGAATTAATTCTATTTTGTTTATAATGTATTTTAGTAATGAATTATAATTTGTTAATTTTGATGGATGAATTCACACAAACTAGCTGTAGCTTTTATAGTTTGGTTTTGAGAAACTATTTAGATTATTAATATATAATATAAATAAATATTAATAACTAGTTAGATATTTTTATTAATTATTGCTTTTTGAAATTTTATTTTGGTTTACGCTTTATATATGTTTATGCTTTTTGAAATTTTGATTAACATTTCACTGAGTAATACATTAAAAGTTTGATGGAGAATGTTTATTTTATTTTTTTAAGGACTTATTTTGCTCTTCGTAAACAAAATAAATTTCGAATGACATTACTATTATCAACCAAATTAATTTTTTAAGTAAAGACCAGAAAATATATTTTATTAGAATATTCATGGAGCCTTTTTATGGAATTCAATAAAATGTAATTAAATATTATAAAAAAATATAAGAATAAGTTAAAAATATCAACTAGTTGAATATACAACTGATGTTTATAAAAAAAGTTAATTATTTGTACAACTTCAATAATACTTTAGAATAACTGCTCTGCAAATTGCAAATATTCAAAAGTTTAATAATATATAAACTAATTGTATAAAATATATAAATATATAAATGTATTAATATTATAATATATAAACTAAATGTATAACATACAACTAAACACTACTTAGATTATTAATAACAAAAATATATAATTACTTACTCACAAGTTTGATAAATGAAAATTATTTTTTTTTTGAAACAAGATTGATATCTTAGGTCCTCGATATTCTTTTTAATATTTTGTATATTTATTCAAAAAGCTGCATTTCTTCCCTAAAACTATAGTATTTTGTTTTATTTGTTAAGAATGTTTCTGAGTAGAAAATTAGGGATCTTAAAACGAATGAAACTACGTTGATGTTAGCAAAACAAGGTTTTGCCATTCGCACAGAAAACATCAATTTCACAGAATTTACTAGCCACACAGCAGTGGCGCGGTAATTAGAGTTCTGGCTAAGAACCAAGATGTTCAACCCAACAAGTGACATTGGTAAGGAAGGAGGCGTGAAATATTAAATTCTCTTCTGCGGTTCTTTGTTATAAAACCGTTAGGATCTGGGAGCACCTTAATAACTACATCAAAAACAAAACAGAGTAAAAGTAAAGCTTTTACCCATTTTGTTGTGTTTATATCATTCAATTTTCATAAGTGATCATTACTTGCCAAATGTTAATTGACTCTAAAAAATCATCCTAGAACCGGAAAGAAGAGTAAATCGTATTGAAATCATTAATATAAGTATTCTACAATAGAAATATAGACATTTAAAGAGGCCTTGCTATAATAGACTTTATTTTTGTGGAACGACAAAAATTACCGTAATGAAGTTATAATTTATAACAATTACTTGCTTTTAAAATTTTAACCATATTCAATTTCCAAAATGGATCACACGTTTGTTTTGTAACAATTAATTTTAAAATTAGGTGATGTAATGGAAAGATTTGGTGCCTACTATACTTTTGAAATAGTAAAGATATGTTGATTCTGAGTTTTATTGTAGAAAAAACAAATCATTAATGTTAAGCTTACAAAAACAGGTATATTATGGCATGTTTCTGTAATGTCTGGAAATAATAGTGGTCTTCAAACTTGAATAAAAATACTTCTTAATAAATAGTGGTGTCCAGTTGATTTTTTGTTGAAATTTTTCTGATAAAAATATGGAAACTTGAAGCATGAAATTGATGCAGTTGTTGAATCATAAGAAGTTATTTTGATTAACAAACGTTCGTTTGTATTCGGGATATCTAATTTTGTAATTGTATTATTTTCGGATATTAGTTTGTTGTGAAGATAAGGCCCATAATATGAAATAAAGAAACGTGATAGTTTTGTTTTTTTATATGGTTCATTAAAATTTCTTATTTCTTTAGTGTCACACTATTTCTATAGCTTTTAAATTTTTTTTTTTTTAAATATGGTAGGACAAGTCCAAGTTTATATTTTAGCATAAACAACAAATTATGGTAGATTTATGACAGAAGACCAGTTTATACTGTATAAAATAGTATGAAAATCAAGAAACACTAAACTTCTCGGGTACATTCTTTTCAGTTTAATTTTTTTTTCCAAATCTTTAAGAGCAGGATATTTTACTTTGATTGTCAATACTGTCTACTGTGTAGAGACAAATATTCACGGTACTTCGTCTTTGATTTATTTTATATTTTTTTAACGTTTTTTTTTTTCATGTATATGAAAAAAATGTTTTTTTCCAAAAAAAATTTTTTGCGGTGCAAAAATAAATTTTTTACGATGTTCTCCTTCGAAAATGCCGCAAATCTGGCTACCTTATATATAAATGGTTAATAAACACATGTGAACAAAGTGTGCCAATTGGTGGACACGTTATTAAGGAGAAAGCTTTAGATTTTGCAAAAGAACATAACATAACGGATTTCAAGGGTTGACTTAAAATCCGTTATGTTGAGAAGGGTGACTAGATTGGTGGAAAATGGATATAATGTAACTATATTTACCCGACTGAAATGTGTAAAATACCCGACTAGCCAACTAAATTTGTAAAAAAAACCGACTATAACTTGAAAATCAGTTTCTTTGGAGAAGGAGGGGGTGGAGCAGCCCCCCACACATCTCGTAAAGTTGCCTCTGTTTACAACGCTGACAAGTTTGGTTTATTTTATCAACAGCTTCTGACAAAAATCTTTTATCTAAACGGTAAACAATGTACAGAAGGAAAATTTAGTATATTTTTGATATTTCCATTTTACTATCTATTTGTTATTTCCATTATACTATATATATATATATATATATATATATATATATATATATATATATATATATATATATATATATATATATATATATATATATATATTATATATTATAACTCTTTAAAATATATGACATAATTGCGTCGAGCGACTTCAAACCCGCTCAAGATGGCCGTCAAAAGTTATATAAATTGCAAAGCAGATGTGCTTGCTCGTAGCCTAACTAAAATAATATAATTTTCTATGCCAGTCGGCGGCCACCGACTTACCGGGAATCTTCCAATATCCGTGTAGCACAGTCAAAGCTTAGATATAAATCATTCAATTTTGAATCAATATTTTCATCTATCTGCTATTGAAGATTTTCATACATTCGCTACTAATGAGAATAGTTTTGGTTGACTGAAGATTATTTAAAAATTTAGTTTTTTATTTTCATTTTAAAACAATAAAAATTTAAATCTCTCGTTTTAAAATGAAAATAAAAGGCTGAATAGTCATCATAAAATATTTTCAATATATTATATTTTAATGACGTAAGTTTTAAAGACTTACATCATTAAAATATAAAAATTAAAAAATATTAATATATTTCCGAATGGGCGATGTAAGTTCTAAGAAGAACTGCGGAAGTTGAACTAGCATCTAGACGTCTTTTAGACGTCTTAGGATGTCCGATGCACACTGGCTTACAGATTACGGTAACTTATCCAAATTCCATATCTTACATACCTATGCATTTCATTTATGATATATAATATATGGTATATGATAAAAATGCTGGAATACCCTTGCTCTACCCTTTATTCAACAATTTTTGCCTTAACGATTTATTTTTGACATTAAACTCTTGAAATTAAAATTAATTTTTGTTCAACTAAAAATATGAATCTTTTTTGTGACTATCTTTTTTTTTACCAAAATTGATTTTCTCAGTTCCCCCTCAGATCTGGTAAAAAGTTATGAACAAAATGGTGCGGAAGAATAAATAAGCTAATTGCTCACACTTTGCATTAAAGTTGCCCTACTAGTTAATAATTAATGCCTAAATATGAAGACCTTTGAAATCCATTTAATAATATTTTTAAACAAAAATGATTCATACTTACATTTGTAAGACTTTAACTAAATACTCTAAAGAGCAGTTGCAAATCTCAGTAGAAAAAATCAAAAAAGGCAAAATATTATGCAGTAAAGATTTTGAGGCATGCGACTTACTAAAGACATCAGTTTACAGTATTGAGATATAGTTCGGGAAGAATGGGGTAATTGTAAACGCGGGGTAACTCCAAACATGGTCAAAACAGTATAATTGAAAAATATATTTGACAATTTCTTTTTACCTGCTGTGAGGGAATCCCATGCTCAGTTCCAGACGTGCATTAGTGTAATGAAGCTACGATTGTTGTTCACGATAATTTTATCATAACTTTTTCTGATCATTTTATGCAACTTTTTTCTTGAGTAACATTCCTGTTGCAGCTACTATAGATATAAAACCACTCCTTTTGTTTTTGTTGTTGCATAGTATAATTTTTGCTCTTAATTATTAATATTTTATTTGTTACTACACTACAGTGTTTATGATTACGCACAGTGTGTTTGGAATTACCCCACGTGCTTAGGGTAATTCCGATTACCAATGGTTTTATTTTTGCCCTTTTAATTTTATTGTGAAAAGTTATGGAACATTTTATGAAGGAGGAGGAAACAAATAATGATTTAGAGGCTGGGAACAAATAAACCCCAAAATTTCATCCCCCTCACCCCAAACGTGAGGGTTACATAATAAAATATTTTTTAAACTATATATTATAAGTTATCAATTAATATAGAAAAAACTAAATGGACTCTTTTTCATCCAAAATCCAAAAAATATTTTCTGGCAAATGATATGCCATCAACAATGGAAAAATCATATTGAAACTTTGCGCAATAAAGTTTTAAAAAGTATAGGAGTATTATATAAAGCGAGAAATTATGTAAATAAACATGCATTAATTCAACTTTATTACTCACTTATTCAATGCCATCTATATTATTCTAACATGGGGTAGTGATAAAAAAAGTCAATAAGGTCAACTTTATCGGCAACAGAAGCATCTAGCACGACTAATAAACTTTAAAGATCGTTTTACTCATGCAAAACCACTTTTATTCGAAATGAGTATTTTTAATATATATCAACTAAATGTTTCTTACGTTTTTTGCTTTATATTTAAATGTAAGATAAATTTAACTCCTATATCGGTATTTACTTTTCATTTTATATTTTTTTGAAATAATTGGTTTATTATTGTATTGTTAAACGGTTATCGGTGACTGGATCTTAAGATGCTCTTCTAGTTTCCGTGTTCTCATTTATTATGTAGAAAGACATTTTTACCAGAAATATTGTTAAATGAACAAAAAAAAAATTTTTTTGTACTATTTTCCACTAGACTTCACCATTAGATAATACTATGAAACATTAAAATTTATCGTCCACCGATAAATTTTAAGTTTCATAGTATTATCTCTCAGCGTTCAAAAATTATGACCATATAAAATTTGTAACCCCTCAAATTAAGAGACTTTATACGGTCATAATTATGAAACTTAAAACTTATTGATTATAAGTCTAGTTGAGCATCGTACAAAAAATATTTTATCAACTTTTTGCCCTCACGTTTGAGATGGGTGGTGGTGGGAGGGTGTCGAAATTTTGGGGCTTATTTCTTCTCAGCCTCCAATCATTGCAATTTTTTCAAAATCATTGACATAAGTATAAACATAAAAATGTTTAAAGTTTGCATCATTTCTGGAAGTTAGCTACCTCAAACACCAAAAAATGCTGGATCCGTCACTGAAGAGAATATTTATTATTTGTATTTATGTATGCAAAAAGTTTTTATTTATGTAAAAAGAAGAGTTTAGTTTAGTAAAGAGTTAAAATTAGTTGCTTACGAGAAAAAAAGTTTTTTTATTTCTCGTTGTGTTAAAAGCGAGAAAACTACATGATCTAGTACTTTTAGTTTTAATGTCGTCTAAATAACTTTTCTAAAATGTTTTCATCTAGAAAATTGTATGTGTCAAATGTGTTTTGTTCATTTAAATAACGCCCATAAAATGGAAAAACTTTTTTTGTTGTTGTTATTTTATTTTTTCACAAGGAAAAAAAAATAACAACAACAAAAACATTAAAATCTGCATAGTCTTTTATATTAGATCGAGTGAATAAAAATTAGCAATTGCTTTTACTCAATAATTGGTCAGCTTTACGTAAATAAAAACTTCAGGAGTTTTGCTCAAATTTTTATTCATGTAAAGTTAAGCAATTTCTCAGTAACTGCTCGGCTTTACGTAAATACAAACTTAACTCAAATTCTTTAAGTTTTTATTCACGTAAAGTTGACCAATTACTGAGTAAAAGCAATTGCTCATTTTTACTCACCCGGCCTATTATGTCAGTGTTACGTCATTCAATAAAGTTAACTTATTGGAGTTTTTCGAAATTTAATCTAGATTTTCAACTTGCAAGTTTATATTGCACACTAATCTTTTTTAGACCAAAAAAATCTTCAAATAGTCATAGTTTGGCACAAAAGCAGTGTGTTTATTATTATATAGGGAAAAGGCGCCTATGATGGTATAACGCCTATGATGGCATACCGGTCATATTTTCATAAATATTGGTTTTGGCGAAAAAGTGATTAGACCAACATGTTTATACTGAATTTACATTAGTTTTAGTAAAAATACTTCCCTTATGCACAAATATTGCTTTTATAATCAATAAAAATTGATTTTGGAATGTGCTGTTGTACTTTTAATTCCTTTAAATATTTAAGATTGTGATTTTATTATTAAATGCGCAGAAATGGAATTTTCATGCTTTTGTTTCTAAGTTTTGTGCAGTTAATGGAATACTTGTTTTAATTTTATTTTCTGAATAAGGCAGACATAGCTTGTTTAAATGAAAACGATGACTTCTTCCTATGATGACTGACGAGTTAGGTGTGTTGCAATATTGACAAGTTAAAAAAACCTTTTTTTTTTTTTTTATAAAAACAACATATTTATTAGTGAAGTAAAAAGGAATTTTTATTTCAGTAAAAAGTTTTTGGTTTAAAAAATACATAAAAAACGCAATATCTCTTATGCGCATGCGCAAAATTCTACACTGCTGCTATGTAGCACGAAAGGGTTAGTTAGGATGATTACTCGTAATTTCTGGCATTTCTGAGGCAAGACTCTAAGGTCAAATGAAATCATCGAGTTACCCTTGATGCTAACCAGCCCCATCCTCCCCTATGCCATCATAGGAGCAGTAGTTGCCTATGATGGCATACTTGTGCTTTTTTTTAATAAAAATAACTAATAAAAAAATAAAACTGATGAAAACTCCTGGGGTTATTATTGTTCTACATGTAACAAAAAATGCATCCATGTCAAAACTTTTGTTCTTGGTCTTCAGGATACTGAATAATGAAGCTTCAAAGTTAAGTATGCCATCATAGGCGCCTTTCCCCTATTACTTTTTATTAAAATATATTTCGTTGTTAAAAATAATTACAATTACAAAATACATAAATTAATAAAATAACATGAGCGAGGCACAAAAAAAAAAGTTATAAAAATAGACTAAAGTTGTCCTATCACTAAGCCCCGTCAAAGGTTATGCTCTTTTAATACAATTAGCCTATTTTTGATTTTTGATAACTCTGTAGTTCACTTGAATAATGTGACAAAGAAAGATCAGGCCAGAGAACAATAATGCCATTTTTTATGTTTTTTTATAAATTTCTGTAATTTCTAGAGATGTGACTATTCGCTATTTGGGCTATACAGCAACTTTTTTTTTCTCCTCGGTATTCGGTCAAATACTGTAAACTATTCGGCCGAATACAGAATGCCAGATTGTAAACAAAGAAAAATGCAAAAAAAAAAGATAACATAAAGCTATTATTTTATTTTTATTTTAACAAATGTTTAGCATACTTGAAACTTAAAATCTGAGGTAGTAAGTTATGATAAAAACATTTTCATCGTTTGATGATGGCAAACGATTGCAAAATTCTCATAAATTATACATACTTCCAAAAATAACCATTCACTTAGTACAGTGTCACCAGCAAATAATAAGAAAATTTTAGTAAGTTCTATTAGGATAATGTTTTATGTTTTCTGACCATTACTTGTAAGGGTTCGCTGCCCAATTTAAGCAAACAGCTTCATGTAAAACTAATTCCATTTCCAATTAGACTTTTCTATTCCACATCTTTATATGTGTTCATATCTTTTTAAAGATAGTTTTGATCTTTTTCGTTTACATTTCTTCTTGTTACGAAGTGAAGATGAGCCATCACCGGTGCTACTATACACCGGATATGGTTCATCGGTGTCAAGCTGTTTTTCACTGAGACAGATAAATCGTTCTCTGACTTAATTTTTCACTGAGAAAGATTGTTATGTGTGTTGTAAATCACCGTCATTCGCAGAACTTTTAAAATATTTTTTTGTTTTGGTCGTTGTGTTTTTAATAATCCCTGGAATTAGTTTACGAGCGTGCATCATTAAAAGAGACTGCCATTTAATTGTCATTCCTATTAAAGTTTTTACCATGTTTTAAGTTCAAGTTGTAGCGAATGTACCATTATAATAAGTTTTGTGCTATTACCTCTGAAATGCAAGATATATCTGAGCTGGTTATTTTTGTAATCTTTATGAACGGTTTGAGGAGTATTTCAAGTTAATTTTAAGTCATGATGTTTATCATAACGATAACGATGATATAAAGAAAAATGAGTGCAGATCTATAATTTGCAGGATTTGTAACACATCTGTTTCAGTGATAGTATAATCCATATTTCTAAACTGAAGATTGATAAATATTAAGTATTACACATAGTATAAGTTTCGGTTGAGTGGTACTTAAATGTCTATCTTAAGCTTAATTTAATTTAATTTTAACTTAATTTTCGAAAAAAGATTTATATCTTCTTATTTGGGTAACAGCATTATGCGTGTTAATCCAGTACGAAAGTTTGCACTTGTTTTTAAAAAAGACTGTGACCTGAAGAAGTTATAATAATTATAATTTGTTTTTATAATTGTTATATAATTAATTATAATAAAACAAAAGTTTATGCAAAAATATCTTTTGAGAAAACTTTAGAAACTTATACAAAATACATGTAAATCTGAAAATAATTTTATTTTTATTTATAAGTAGTTATTTATATTTCATTATAAATTTACAGATTTGTTCGCCATATAATATAAACCGTCGGCGTAAACGTGAGCAATCTGATGCAGAACTAATGCGACTTTATTGGAGTGAACAACTTCCATTAGGGTTCTTTGTAAACGACGGCTCCTCCGAAACAGGTAAATTTACGGGTTTTCTGAAATTTGCAGACAAAATATATATTTTTTTAATTTATCTTTAAAATTAATATAAATAATAAATTTAATAAATAAATTTATAAACTAGTTTTTTCATTTTTATTTTATATTTTACTCTGTAGGAGAAAGTCTTGGTGTTTTATCTGCTCGTGATCATATACAAGAAACTCATGAAGGGAGCGGGGTTGGACGACGTGACGATATTCAGCGTAAACCTACCTCTAGCGTTTCACTAAAAGCCAATATTGAAGGTAAAAAGTCTTTAAGCAATCAAAAAATGGAAAAACTAGAAGAAAATAATAAGATGGAAGCTTTAGTTGAAAAAAGTGAAGCGAAAACTGTAGTCGCAGAGACTGAAACTGATTTAGGAGATAAAAGAAAGGTGATTTTAATGTTTTTAATGTTTACATTGTTTCAAATTTACGTTATAATTAAATTGGCAGTTTGAAACGGATTATAAGGAGATAAAACAAAAGTTATTTTAAATTACTGTTTTAATGCTTAAGCGTTTCAAATTTACATTATAATCGAATTTGCAGTTTGTTTTTATATTACTGAAATCCCAAGTTTTTAATTTTTTAGTTATTTGGTTATAGGTTCGCCGTAGTGTAACTTGTCAAGGACAAAAAGAGTGGCTACAATGTGATGGACCTTATGAATTAATTAAAATAAAAAGTGCATTTTGGGGACGTGATGATGACCACACTTGTAAAAAAAATAGCATCACGCACGGTCTTTCCACAGATAAAAATTGCGCCCAAGATGAGTCGAATACAATGCAAAAAGTGCGCGAAGCTTGTGATAATGAGAATGTTTGTGAAGTCGTGGCCTCAGGGGTATACTTTGATAAAGCAGACTGCAATGATGTTTATAAGTTCTTAAGATTGGAGTGGCAGTGCGCTCCAAGTGAGTCCAGAATAAAAGAATCAATCGCATAGTAGATTCGCAAACAATACTTTTCAATGACAAAACGACTACAAATATCTTTTCATGAGATTTTTTAACTGCGTTCAAAGTAGAAAAGGTCTTTCGACTCTTTATGAACTTTAGGCATTCACAGCATTATGTATGCACTCAACACACGTTTTAAATACGCAACACGCGTAACAAAGAAACACTTAATGTAGATTGATTTTGTTTATTGTTTGCATAAAATGTGTATTTATACGTAATATGTACTTATTATATGTGTAAAAGCGTACCTCGTTTAAATGTTTGTGATTGCAATCGTGTTATTGTTTCATAAGTTAACTAAGATACCATTTTTTTACATTTTTACAAAATTTGTGCCTTTATGATGTTATGGAATAAATTATTTTTAATAAAAAATTATTTGTTGTGTGTTAGAAATATATATTGTTAACAAAATACTATTGAAAATTATATTTTTGTTTTTTATGCTATTTATTTAAGGGGGTGGGGGTGAACAGCAAACAAAAGGTAAACTAGCAAATTACACATTTTTTTCTAAACAGAGGATATATTTTCTTTTGATTAACAATCTGATAAGAATTTATGTAAACCTAATGCTATTAAATCCAAGCTGTAATAAAATAGTGCAATAAAAAGTTAAATCAAACAAGAGGCCAAATATTTTCAAAAAAGAGAAATATTTTTTGAAAATATCAGAATTGAATTTTTGATTTTGAGTATAAATTGTTTTGAAAATACTGAAATAAAAGCAAATTTGATTATAAACAGCATAATTGCTACAAGTGCAATTCGTCAGAAATTTCAAATTTTTAATGTTGTAACAAGTAAATAGAACACTGCGATACTGCTTTAGTGGCTCAATTAAGTAAGATTGTAAATAATTCTTGACTATCTCACTATATTTAAAACTATAAAAGGGTTTATGTCGCGCCTTAAAGGTATAATATAATATTAAATTGCAGTCATTGTGATCAACCACAGCCTAATCTATTTATATTTTATATAAATATTCAAAATTTATTAATCAATGAAAATGCAAAATTTTATTAAAGAAAAAATTTAATATTTTTAACAATAATATTACCCTAAAATTTGAATATTTGAGACTGTTAAAGGTATTATACCAACAGTTTGTTTCAATTTAATTAGGATTTCATTGAAGGTATGTTAAGTTAGCAGATATTTTCTTCACAACCCGGGTTAGCGGCAAAAAAATATTTGCCGCGAATAGGAAAAAAACATAAATCATGGGTGGTTTCATACGTTGTATTTTAATTAAAAATACAACGTGTGAAACCACCCATGATTAATGTTGGAAAGTGTGAAGCCACCTTTGATTAATTCTGGGAAGTGTGAAACCACCTGTGATTAATGTCGGGAATGTTTCACCGAATTACAGTGTATTCATTAGGTCCTATCAGCAGACAATTTATTGATTTATTACTTTATACGTTCATCATAAATAAAATTAATCAATAAAATTATTTTTTTAAAAAAGCAATAGTTAATGATAATTTATTTAATTGATAAACTACTTATTGAACTTATTAGTTTATACAAACAAAAATAAAAAAATAGTTTTAAAAATTTGAAATAAAAATGAACAAAAATAAAATATTAACAAGAAAAATAAAATTTAAAAAAACACAATATATACAAATAAAATAAATATTTTCTTAGTTGCCTGAGATTGAATGATATAAATATTAATCCGATACATTTATCACTTTACTATCTATTTGTAAAAAAAAATTGTATATCTGGTAAATATACAATTTTGCAGAAAAATTTAAAAGGTCCCTACATACAAATGCTGGCACCTATTAAAAGTGCGCCAATAATATTATTAAGTTTTTTTTTTTTCTTATGAAATACTAAACTGTATTTTTATGATAAAATTTCATAATAAGATGACATTACAAGTTTGTTTTAATAGCAGTCTTCAGAAGTTAACTTTTGAAGTTCATTTTATTATTTGCGAACTTTTTTAATTTTTGAAATGTTTTTCTAAAGTTTTTGAATTAAATTAACGAGTTTTTCTAACTAACGTGAAAAACTAACGTCAATAAAGTTTTTACTTTCTCAGACTATTTATCAACAAATGCAACAAAAATTGTTACATTTATGATAAAAATAAAATTTTTGCAGAAAAGTGAAACATTTTGTAATACCTCTGTAAAATTAAAAAGAAAAACTAGATACTTCTCTGAAACAATTTGCTTAATTATCTCCAAAAAAAAAGATTAGTTGTAAACAGAAATTTCTGTACAAAGATATCTACTGAAAATCTACTTATTCAAAAAATAATTTTTTTTTTTTTTTTTTTTTTTTTTTTTTGTAATATTTTGGTATTTCAAATAGATGCAAAATTCTAAAAACATTTTAAGAAATTCAATGTTTTTGTGGAAGATCTAAAGAAATCTCTAACTACAACAAAAAGTTTTAACTTTTAAAATCTTTTTGAACTAATGATTCAATTAAAATCTTTTAGAATAAACAAATAAAACAGAATCTTCAAAAACAACTTAAACAGAGTCTTTGAAAACAAATGGTTCAAACGATATATTCTTGGAATATTTAATACAAACAGACTCTTTTTTTAAAAAAAATTATGCAAAGTGCATCTTTTTGAATAAATTGTTCTAACAGAATGTTTGAAAACAAATAATTTGAGATGAATTTTTATGACTGAGCAATCAACCAGACTTTTTTTAATCTAATGGTTCAAGCAGTTTTCTTCATCTTTTTAAATAAATCATTCATACAGAATATTTTTAACAAATGATTCAACCAAAAATTTTTTGAGTCGTTATTTTTAATAGAATCTATTTAAAAAATAGAATTTAGGCTAATTTTTTTTTTTCTGAACAAATAATTCAAACAGAATACCTTAGAATAAAAAATTCAAATAAATAAAAATTTTCAAAAAAACTCAAAAAGAACTTTTTTTGAATAAATGATTTAAACAAAAATCTTTACGGAATAGCAATGAGTCAAATTTTTTTTAGTTTATAATTAATATGATAATGTAATATATACCTACTTATATACAATAATAAGAAATTCAATTATTATAATTATTTATTTACATAAGTTTATGATAATTTTTAACATAAATAATTAACTGTCAAAATCCGATAAAACTCAGTACCTGTATTTTGCTAATATATCTAAAACATTATTTAAAAAAAAATAAAAAAACATTTGTAAAAAAAATATTTTAAAACGAAATTGTATCTTTTTCTTTAAAAAATAACAGTTGCAAACAAATATTTAAAAAACAGATTTTGTTCAAAAATGAACGTTTACGTTTGATTTTTTACAAAACCAAATCAAACATGGAGTATTCAAAATTAATCAACCATGAGAATGAGCTCAGTTTAAAATAGAGGTCGTAATAATTTGATTATCAGCAAACACGAAACGTTGCTAAAATCTCGAGACTAAATTATAGCGGATAGAAAATAAAATCTTCAAATGCTTCATGAATTATATAATAGCCTATTGGGTTTTTGAAGCATTTTGAAGAACTTGGAGGTATATGCGCTTTGCTTTGTTTTGTTTTTATGTTTGTTAAATATATTTTTTGCTTGTTTTGATACTTGTTTCAAAATGTTTAAGAGTTTCAATTTATTTAACGGTGTTTTGTATGTTTGATATCACACGCTTTGGTGCACTGCAACAAAATTTTTTTAATTATTATTTTTTAGTTGCATAACAACTTTAAATATTTTATTTACAAGGTATATAATTAGGTTGTTCAATTTAAAAAATACATACATGTATATATATATATATATATATATATATATATATATATATATATATATATATATATATATATATATATATATATATATATATATATATATATATATATATATATATATATATATATATATATATATATATATATATATATATATATATATATATATATATATATTTATAAATAACAATAGTTAGAGCTTGCAAAATATTCAAAATATGCAGAAGCAGTTCTACATATTTCAAATATGAAGAATGCACATTTTAGGTTAAACATGCAATTCTAAAAAAAAATCCTTAAGAAACACTTAAAATGGGTCAAAGCATTTTCGAGCGTTAAGTTTCGATATAGAAAGCACGAATATAAAAATCATAAAGATTTTAAGACGTTACATAAGCTACTAGTGTTGCACTAAGTAGATTAGAGTTTAAAAAAAATAACTTTATTGAAGGCATTTGCTTTTTCAGGTAATTTTTAGTCAATATAATAACAGCTGTCCGACATTTGAAATAATGTGCATAAAAAACAGAATAGATATTTGAAGTAATGTGCTTAAAAAACGGAATAGATATTAGCGCTGAAGACTAGTTGAAATTTAAAGCGCTTTAAAGCTTGTTATGCTGCAAGAGTATGTAACGGTGTGTAAGTTTTATATTACGTAAAACAATACTAAAGAAAATAATCGAGAAAAGAAAGTTTTTCCCTTTATATTATAAATAATTTTTTTTCCCTATATTAAAAACTAAGTTTTTTCCCTTTACAGTAAAAAAAATATTTTTTTACAATATATTAAAAAAAAACACTATTTTTTCATTTCAATTCTAAATCAAAAATAAAATAATAATAATAAATTGGGGGTATTTAGAAATTGTAAAACAAATGATTGTTATATTGACAAGAGCTTCATTTGTATTTATTGGAAGTTATTATTCATTATTATTTAGTATTAGTATTTATTGGAAATTATTATTCATTATTATTTAGTATTAGTATTTATTGGAAATTTGAGACTTTTATATCAAGCAAACTCTAAACTTGTGGAAATTCACGTTTGTTTGTTTTTTGAATAAGGATGTGTTTTAAAAAACTGCATTTTTTTTTTTGTGTACCTATTTATAAGTTACTTTACAATGACCTATTATTTCCGTCACAACAACGTAACAACAATCGGTTAGTAGTTTTCTGAAGCCTTCCTAACCAATCTCTCTCCTATAGCCAGAAAGAGTAAACCTGGTCCATAATAAGCAAACAAAACTTTTATTTGTTGTTTTAAACTAAATTTATATTCATTGTTTGTTTTTAATTTTATTCGGATGCAAATGCAAATGCAAAATGAGTTCGAAAGTTTCAAATTTCCAAATTTTTAGAGTTAAAATGCAGTGCTTATAGTTTTCGAATATCCAAATGCAAATGCAGTGTTCAAAAAGTACGGCCATGGTCACAATTTTCAAATTTTTTAGAGATCATTACATAAAATTTTAGAAACTGTTGACGCCCTTGCAGGGGCAACCTACTAATCGATAATTTGACTACATCAAATTCGACTACGTCAAACCTACTAATCGATTGACTACGTTATTACTTAATCACGATTACGTCATCAATCGATCGAAATTCAACTACGTCAAACCTACTAATCGATCTTCCAATTTAACTTGCTTCCAACAAAAATAATAAATAAAAATTTATTTAAGAATAAATTTTATGCCTTAATTTATTTATTTATCCGATTCATCAAACACCGAAATATTTAAAAGAGGGCCCTGGTTTAAATTTTTCGATGTACCGGACAATAAACAAATTAAGGCATAAAGTTTATTTTTAAATAAACTTTTATTTATTATTTTTGTTGGAAGCAGGTTAAATCGGAAGAAATTGGAAGACTGGAAACAAGTTAGATAACACATTAAAAGATTATTAGTTAATATTATCAAATAGTGTTATCTTTTAGGTTATTATTATGTATTACCAATTAAGTTAAATTCTTTAGGTTATTTTTATAAGGTAAAAAATTTTTTTTGGTCACAAACAGCCATATTATAAACAATAATACATACACATAATAGTAAATTGTAATAACTCTTTCCGGTTTGGCTTCTGCAAACTTTTTTACCTTCTTTGTTTATCTAATTTTTTAGGAAATATCACATTCGATAGTAATTATATTCAATGTGCATCATTCTGTTTCTTATGTAGATTAAACTTTAAAAATACTTTTCCCTTGTAAAGTAAAAATCATATTTTCTGTAATTTGATGAGCCCTGCATAGACTTAGAAAAACTTTCTGAGTCACGCTTAGACTTAGAAAAGTTTGCTAGGCAACGCACAGATTTAGAAAAATTTGGCAAAATTTCCTTAGCATTTTTTGAATTAACGAACTAATGAATAGTTGACATAACGAATAGATTTATTGTCTTTTTTTACTGAGAAAAAATAAGGCTTCTTTATAAAATGGGGATCCAGTGTGAAGCAATCTTTACACCCCATAATAATTGTATAATTAAACTATAAAAACTATAATGCATCATTTTCTTGTTGTTAGACTCCTGGATGACTAAGAAAAAGAGATGAACAACTGGTTTAAGTTTTATTTCGTGTTTATACTTATTTCGTACGTGGTAGGTTTTTAATGTTATCAAATTTTTGTGAACTATTACTCAAACCAAAAATTTTTATTAATAATATGGGTGTGAAACTATGTATGTTATTTATAACTAAAAAAACTAATCTAAACTTATGGTGCTTTTTTTTCTAGAAAGGAGGATTATTTGATTTTCTAAAGCGTAATAAACGAAACGATGTTGAAGATGCAGATTTAGCTTGGGGTTATTGGAACGCTCCTGTTACAATGGGAGTGTTCATTAATGATAACTTTCGTTCTGAATATGGAGTTGAGGCTCCATCAAAAAGAACAGATACTCCTCTTCATCCGATGGGAAGTGGTAGTGGTAGCGGTGAGGAGAGCTATCTTTTTTCAGATAGTTCAAAACGTAACAAAATTCCAAAGGTTAAACTAATAGACTCTATCAAAAGTTTGAAGTCTAAAATAGAAGAAAAAAGAAACAAAACAGATTCTATGAAAATATCCGAACTTACTGCTCAAGCAGCCAAAGTAGAAATACAAGGAGAAGATCACGAGGATACTAAAGTAAGTATTTTTAAATTTTCATGTAGATCTTTAAATAAATTGAAATAAATGCAGAGTTGATTAAGATATTAAACAATGAGTGAGTGCAGAGTAGTATTTTTATAGAAGAAAAAAGAAAATTTAAAAAAAGTTTAGCCTAACCCTAACTCTGGCAACCCGCTAATTTAACATTAAATATAAGAATATTTTTTAGACTTTGAGGTTTCTGCAAGATCTTATATTTTTAACCTAAATATTAGTAAAAAAATGTTTTTGATCTCAAAAGAAAGGAAATAAAGTGCTGGTTTTAAAATAATATTTGGTTTCCATTAAAACAATGACAAAATAAAATTGTTTGCTTAAGAATTAAAAAAATTAAAAATCTTGCAATATTTTACAAAAATTGCTTTTGAAGATTTTTTTTTTAATATTGAAAAAATATTTTTAAAAATTAAGATTTAAATACTCTTCTTTTGAAAGCAAAGTTGTTTTTTTTTTGAAAGCAAAGTCGTTTTTAAAATCTATTTAGTAAAACTTATATTCAAATTGTTTTAACTTAATGCAGGGTGCAAATATCACGCTTAAGATTTTGTTTAGGCTTTAAACATTTAAGTTAAATGACATAAGTTTATATATAATACTTTATTTCTTTTATAAAGAACTAGTTATAATATTTTAAGTGATAAAAAAAAAAATTATTTTCTTTATTTAGCGAACTATCTCTATAACTTGTCAAGGCGAAAAAGAGTGGTTGCAATGTCCTCAATACCACCTTATCAAAATAAACAGTGCCTTTTGGGGGCGCGACGACTCAACTACATGTAGTCGGTCAGGTATAGCGTTAAAAAGAAACACCAACAAAATGTGCGCTCAAGACGAAAGTAATACTATGATCAAGGTCCAGAATGCTTGTGATGGTGAAAACGCGTGCGAGTTAGTGGCATCGGAGATATACTTTGATCGTACAGATTGTCCAGATATATATAAGTACCTAAGGCTTAACTGGGAATGTGCCCACAGTGAATCCAGAATTAAAGATAGCATTGAAGCTGATTTAAAAAAATCCAAAGTATAGAGTTTAATGTTTAGTAAAATATTTATTGTCATACAAATATAACTTTCGGCTTACTACATAAGCATTTTATAAAACATATCACGCATCAGTTAATATGACTTTCATCGACAAACAGATGGTTTAAATAAAACAAAACCTTTTAATAACTCGCTACAGATTGGGTAGTATGATCAACCAATTAGAATAACTCACTACAAATCGGGGAACAACAGAGAACTCTTGTATATAGTTTAATGCATTATACTTTTTATAGTAAATAATATTTTTTTACGTTATAGGAAAAACTATAAAACGATAATATAAAAATTGATTTACGCAGTATTAAAAATAATATTTATACTGTTACTCGGCATATAAATATTTTATTTTATAAACTTTTTATGTTTAAAAATCTTTAGTTTGTACCTATTGCTTTTACCTTGTAATTAAATTTAGCTTTTTTTTTTCACCCTCAAGAACGTTTCATCGATATTTCATAAATATTTTGTGAATATTCAATTTCCAAAATATGAAAATTTCATGTCAAAAGCAGTCAATATTAAGTTGATTGAACAAAAAATAATTTAGTTATTTTTATTTAGTGAATTTTTTTTTGTATTGGTAAAATAGATTGCCTTTGAAACCAAAAATTTTTTCTGCCAAAAGCTATAATCCAGCAAACACACTGTGTTGGAATAACTTTGGCCCAACCCTGTTGACATTGTTTCGACAACAGATAAACGTAGTGTGCTGGTTACAAAATTATCTTTCGATTGACATCATCATTTTATGTGAGCCTAATATTGAGAAACACTTAAACAAGAAACCCGTACCTAACAAGAGTCTACTATCATACTTTTGACAATTATATACTACTCTTATTCTATCCTCAGAGCCCAGGCTATTTTACCCTACACACTATAATTGGAGGGGCCCAGCAATTTTAGGGGACCCTTCTGCAATTTTAAGTAGCTTTAGGGTTAGCAGCTTAGGGGCCTTAATGACATGTTGTTGTTGTTGTTGTTGTTGTTGTTGTTGTTGTTGTTGTTGTTGTTGTTGTTGTTGTTTATTGAGGGGATGGGGGGGAATATAACCTACTAGCTAACTGTCTGCCTATTGATATTTTAACAAAATTAATACATTCAAGTTTGAATGCACTTATTTTTAACCGAACAAAATTAAAGATTTCAAAAATTAATAACGATTATTTGAGTGTAGTTCATATAAATATTAAGATTTTAAAAAGAATTATGAAAACTTTTAAAATGCTATTTGTTATTAACTTACATAACTAAAAATTTACGTGACTGAAACTTGGTTCTTTCTTGCTCATTTTAAAAATGGTTCAAACCTCCAACTACCTGGTTTTAATTCAATTATTTTCAAATGATTAATATAATTATTTTCGAGTGCTTAATATAATTATTTTCGAGTGATAAATTTCAGTTATTTTAGAATTATTAATAAACATTATAACATTAATAAGCGTGAAGTTTTTTGTAATATATTTTGTCAACATTTTTTATAAATTTGGACGCGATACGTGTGTTTCCGACGTAAGTAATGAGAAAGTTTAATATAACTTATTAATTTCTATTTTACATAATTAATTTACCATAGTTCAAAATGCACAATAAAAAAAAAAAGTTATAAATTTTTATCTTAAGGGTATATAAAACATCCTACTCCTTAAAGATAGAAAATTATACCATTAATGTTAAAATTTATACCAAAAATTGTCGTATGTGGTGTTACTTTCTACTTTAAGAGTTAATTTTCGGAATCGAAAAATCGGAACCAAAAAAATTCTTCCGACAACAAGCAATGTCAGAATACAAACATTTCGTCTTTTTACTTTTTCTTACCATTATCGAAGTCCCAATCTTTATTTTTAGCCTTACTTACTAATTGATCATAACCGTATTCGAATATCCTAATCCAAAACCGTGGCTAGGCTACCCCCCTTCCCCAAGAAGGGGGACCATTAAGTTTAGGGGATTGTTTTAATAATTTAAGTACCTTTTTTTTTTTTTTTGTAATACCTAGAGGAAGTTTTGTGTACTCTAGTGAAACCAGGGCCTTGAGTGAAACTCTTTTAATTAAATGTTTTATATTCTTCATAAGAAGTTTTATATTCTTTATAAGAAGTTTTATATTCTTTATAAATGTTTTATATTCTTCATGAGACTGACGAGTTCGTTATTCATAATTATGCAATTTTATAAAGATAAACTTTATAAATTTGCTAATTATATACTTTTGTAAGAAATTGCAATTTCTTCAAAAGTATATATTAGAAAAAGCAAAAAAAGAAAAAAATCATCTGATAGGTTTTAACTGTTTTGATTAACACAAAAAAGAAAATATTAGAACTTTTCAAACCAAATTTTTAAAAAAAAATAAAAATACCAATAATCAACTGACCAAATAGAAAAACAAACTATCGTCATTAACAGACAATATCTTAACAACTGAATTTTTTAATAAACCACTAGAAAAATGACGTGTTTGACCATTTTCTTATTTTTTTCCCCCCAAATGTGTGGATTCTAAACAAGAGATTCATCTTATAGACTGTAACCACATAAACAAGAGTTTCATCTTATAGGCTGTAACCACGTAAACAAGAGTTTTATCCTGTAGACTGTAACAACATAAATTTTGATATAACATTGTCTAAAGCATTTTTTTAAGAAGTTTATAATCTAAATTTTTGCTTAAGTAAAATAATTCTAAAAACAAGACATTTTGTTTTCTCCTTGGATTTCTAAAGGTTTTACGTAATCTTCAAAAAACAAACAAAAACTTTTTGTTATATACTTATGATTTAAATCAAAAACACAAAAAATGAATTACCAAACATCCAAAAGTTTATTCAAAAACTTCTCAAAAATGCAAAAAAGAAATAAAATAATTCTGACTTAAATAAAATATATTCTGACTTAATAATAAACAAATTCCAAGTAATTCAAACATAACTATTCTAAGTTGAATAATAATAATTTTTATTTTATTTTATTTTTTTATTTATTTCACCGTTTAAAAATAGTTACAATAACCAGATAATATAGATACAATTATATGTATATATGTATAATTACAATAACCACAAGAGTATATATATTTGCATTTACATTTGGCAGCAACAACGTCAGGATTTCTAGAAAATTATGAGGATCTTATCATGAAGCCCTATAAAAATATAATACATTTACACTTTTTCAATATAATTTTAATTAAAAGTAAACTGTTCGCTATGAAATAATATATCTTTTTATAAAAAAAAAACTTAGTAATTATTAGTCTAAAATAAAACAATATACAAAAATAGTTAAAATTAGATGAGAATATTTTCTAATAAAAGGATAATCTTTTAAGTTTCTGTTTAAATGAAGTCATTTTAATAGAAAAATCAAAATTTGGTAAAATTATTTTGTTCCAGAGATAAGGTCCTCGATAAGAAACAAAAAACTGGGTTTTTTTTTGATGGCAAAAGGGAGCAATAAGATTGTTATTAGTGCAAAGATTGAATTTGTTTTTTGGTTTCAAATTATAAACATTTTTAAATACAGTTGGTGACAGATTTTCTCTACATTTAAACATAAAGCACGAAATATTAAAAACATTTAGTTGGTACACATTCAAAATTTTCATTTCTTTAAAAAGTTGTTTTGTGTGAGAAAACCGATTTTTAAAATTTATTACGCGAACTGCGTGTTTCTGACGAAGGTAAAGAGATTTAAGCTTTGTCTTATGGGTACTTCCCCATTTACTATTTGCATAGTTTATACGACAATGAATAAATGAATAATATAATTGTGTTAACTGATGTTTACTTAATAAATTTCTTGCTTTATAAAGAATTCCGATGCATTTTGTAATTTTTGTGGAAGTAGCATCGAAATGATACCTCCAGGACAAATTTTCTTCAATATATATTCCAAGAAACTTTGTAACCTTTTCCCTTTTTAAAGTAATATTGTTGATTAAAAGATCTGGCATGATATGTGGAAGTTTTTGTTTTTTAGAAGGCGGATAAAAGAGTGTCCATTTCGTTTTTTCAATATTGAGGGACAATCTATTTTGTTTAACCCAAACAGAAACTTTTTTTAATTCATTTGTCATATCAGTAAATAGTATATTAATATTTTCATGAGACAAAAATAAATTTGTATCATCTGCAAAATTTATTGTTGTTAGGTTTGAAGATTTATGAAGATCGTTTATGTATATTAAAAAAAAGAGTGGACCAAGTATGGATCCTTGCGGAACTCCACATGATATATTCATAAATGCACAAGATGTGGAATCTTTATTGAAGACAAATTGTTTACGGTTTGTAAAGTAACTTTTGAACCAAAGCAGAGTTTTATCTTTAATACCATAAGACATAAGTTTTTTTAATAGGATTTGGTGATTCACGGTATCAAATGCTTTGGACAAGTCAATAAAAAACTCCTAATGTAAAACGAGAGTCTTTGAATGAATCTACAATGTTGCGCGTAAGTTGAAGAACGGCATGTTCGGTTGAATTATTTTTTTTAAAGTCAAATTGATTTTCATGCAGTATTTTATTTTCAATAAGATAAGAGTTGACTCGACTAAACATTATTTTTTCTAATATTTTTGAAAAAACTGGAAGAACCGAGATAGGGCGATAGTTTGTTATATTTGTACAATCGCCGGTCTTGAAGATTGGAGCTATTTATGCTATTTTCAGTTTATCTGGAAAGGACCCTTGTGTGATGGACACTCTGAAGATTTTAAAAAGAATATTTTTTATAATATCGTAGAAGTCTATTACAATATTTGCGTTAATTTCATCGTATCCAGTTGCTTTACTTCGTTTTAATGACTTGAAAGCAACTTCAAAGTCATCAAAAGTTAACTCAGTATTATTTAGAGTTAAGCTTAATAGAGTTTCATATTCATCAATAGCTTTTTCTTTAATGTATTGAATATTATTGCATAATTTTGTTCCAATTGTTGTAAAAAACTTGTTTAATTCAAATGCAGTTTTGTTTGGATCATTAAATAACTTGTTTTCAATTTTTATTATATCTGGCAGTGAATTTGTACTTGTTTTATGTTTTCCAGTCACCTCTTTCATGACTTGCCAGACCCTTTTTGAGTTATGTTTGTATTTATTTAGCAAGTTTGAGTAGTAATTTTTTTTTGAATTTTTACAAAGCTTTTAAAATAAGTTTTTATAATTTAAGTAATTTTGTTTGTGTTTTTCTGATTTTGATTATAGGTATTTAACATATAACTTCTGTTTAATTTTTGAGGATTTTATGAGACCCTTTGTAATCCAAGGAGATAATATCTCTTTGGCTTTTAAGACTATTTCACGTAGAGGAAAATTTGAATCATAAACTGCATAAAAAGTTTTGAAAAATTGATCATAGATTATGTTAATACCGTCATTAAAATTGATGTAGTCCCAGTTTA